GCCGCCGGCGGCGCCACTGGCGCCAGCGCGCACGCCGCCGCAGCGGGTCGAAGGGGAAAGAGCGGCATGAGCTCATCGAGCGCGTTACGCTACTCGCAAACGCCTGCTCGCAAAGTGCCAGCTCGCAAAGTACCTGCTCGCAAACGCCCGCAGAACGATGGGTTCTGGGCCTCCTGGAGGGGGTCGGGGCAGGTGGCGTGGGAGGATCGCGCCGCATCGCCGATGCATCGCCGATGCGGCTCGATGTGAACGCGATTTGCTTCACGTCGACGCCGCGGATGCATCGCCGACGACGATGCATCGCTGGTGCATCACTGATGCATCGTCGATGCATCGCCGATGTATCGGCGATGCGGCGCAATCCTCCGACACCACCTGCTCCGACCACGTCTGGGAGGCCTCTAAAATGCCTACTCGCAAACGTCACTTGGTTGCCTCGACGTCACGGACTGCGACCCCCCCGCGGCAGATCCGGGCCATTTGCGAGCAGCTACTCTGCGAGCCGTGGAGCGCGCTTGTCCCTGAGAATGAATTCCTGGAGTTCCGCGCGGATTTCTCGGATCGCCGTTGGGGCCCCCTCCCTGGCGCGCGGAGCGGGCCAGGCTTGAGTCGGGCGTGTCCCTCTACAGGAGGAAAGCTAAAACGTAGTCTGGGAGCGATTGTTTTAAAACAGTGTTTGAGCATCTGTTGTCGAGCTTTGTTGAATTTCTGGAGAAACAAATCCGCCTGTAGGAGGACGTGCAAGACTCAAGCAGTGGCGAAGCGTCCCGGCTCGCCTATAGCCCCACCAAACAATGTTCTAAGAACTTCTTGTGGCTCCCACGAAATGTTCTTAGAACATTTCTGGCTGGGACTGTCTTGTTTTAACACATCGGGTCTATGTTCTAAGAACACTGTTTTTGCTCTTAGAAAATGCTTGGGTTCTAAGAGCATTTCGTGGTATGACTATAGGAATGCGGGGACGGTCGGTCCCTGCTCAAAATGCCTGAGGCCAGGCCTCCAGCGCCGCCTCCCTGGCGGCCGCCTCCCCGGCGGCAGGGGGCGCCCACGGCGGGGGCCCCCGTGCGGGCGGCGGCCTCTGCGGCTGGGGCGCGCGTCTTCGGGGGAGGGGACGCACAGACACAGACAGACACAGACGCACAGCAGACACACACAGACACACACACACACAGACACACACACACACAGACACACACAGACACACACAGACACACACACACAGACACACACACACACACACACACAGACAGACACACACACAGACACGAGGGATCGTCGACCCCCCACCCCAGGATAGTACTGGAAATTCTGCGAAGTGGGGGGGGGAACGAACCCCCAGAAGAGGTACAACAAACTGGGGAATCCTGGGATTTGTGTATATATATATACATATATATATATATACACACTAGAACCACGCGCGCGCTTCGCGCGCGCTTAGGTTCTAGCTAGGATCGTCACCGTCGTTATCATGAACATCACCATCGCCATCATTCCCCCCGCCAGGGCTAATGTACATCGTTTCTGGATGCTTCTGCCCGGAATACGAAAGGAGTTTCTGTAGTCAGAGTCTCTGGGGGAAGTCGCGGGGCCCCTCAGGATACTTACGGATGCCTCTGATAATCCCCCAGTGTGCCCCACGAGATCGCCAGAGGGTGCCCGAACAGAACCCGAGGACGGCGACGACGGTGGCGATGAAGACGGCGGCGATCGCGGCGACGAAGGTAGCGGCGGTTGCTATGGGTTAGTACCCAATCAGAGCTTGCCTCTGTAGGGGTCCTGGCGGATTAAAAGGTTCGATGAGGTTCGGCAGGATTCCGGCCCCATGCGGCCGGGCCAGGTGCCCGGGTGCCCGGGTGCCTGGGTGCCCGGTGCCTGGGTGCCTGGGTGCCCGGTGCCCGGGTGCCGGGGTGCCTGGGGGTGCCCTATAGCCCTATAGCCCTGTAGCCCTATTGCCCTATAGCCGTATAGCCCTATAGGACTGTAGCCCAATAGCCCTATATCCCTATATCCATCTAGCCCTTTAGCTCTATAGCCCTCTGATCCTATAGCCCTACAGCCCCATCTACAGCCCAACAACCCTATAGCCCAATAGCCGAATAGCCCACATAGCCCTATAGCCCTATGGCCCTAGCCCCATAGCCCTATAGCCCTACAGCCCTATAGCCCTGTAGCCCAATAGCCCTGTAGCCCTATCGCCCTATAGCCCTATGGCTCTCCAGCCTTATAGTCCGATAGCCCTGTAGCTCTATAGCCCACAACAAAATGATTGGGGGCTTTCTTCGGTGTCACTACTACGCTGAGGAGAGACGACCGGCGGAGGCAAGCAGAGCGGTCGTCCACGGAGACCAAAAAGAAAACAACCCCACCAGCGGTCATCTACGGGACCAAGAAAGGACACGGAATCTGAAAGGAAGAGAGAGAAAGAGAGAGAAAGAGAGAGAGAGAGAGAAAGAGAGGGAGAGAGAGACAGAGAGACAGGGAGCGAATGAGAGAGAGAGAGAGAGATGGAGAGAGAGAGAGAGAGAGAAACATTAAAACAGGAAGAGAGAGAAAGAGAGAGAGAGAGAGGCAGAGAGAGGAAATGGAGAGGAGGCGAGCTTGAGTCAACGAAAGTCGCAGGGAAGGGGGCAGGGGGAAGAAGGCCAGAGAGCGCTGAAGGATACAAATACTCGTCCGGCCGCTCGCTGGGAGTTTGACGTAGCTTCTCGGGAGCCTCTGAACCTGTCGGGGGCCTCCTGGAAGCAGGTTCGAAGCATTTTGGGAGCCGATTTGGGGCTTCTCGGGGCCTCCTTTGGGCCTCTTGGGGGTCTCCTGGGGCCTCTTGAGGGGCCTCCTTGGGGCCTCCTGGCGGCCTCTTGGGGCGGAAGGCTCGAGCTTGCGGTTCGTGGTCCCCCTTTGGGCCCCCTCCTGGGCCCGTCTTGGGGCCCTCTTGGGCCATTTTGGGCGCCTCTTGGGCCGTCTTGGGGCCCTCTTGGGCTGTCCTGGGGCCCTCTTGGAAGCTTCTTGGGCCGTCTTGGGGCGGTCTTGGGCGCCTCTTGGGCCGTCCTGTAACGTCGGAAAGCCCAAAAGGCAACTATGTGAAACATGTACGTTTTACGAAGGGAATGGGCCACATTTTGCGTCTACGGGCCCTCTTGGGACGCATGTTGGAGGCTTCTTGGGGCGTCTTGGGGGCGTCCTTGGACGTCTGGAGGCCATCGTCAGCATCTTGGAGCCCTCTTGGAGGCCTCTTGGAAGTTTCTTGGGCCGTCTTGGGCGCTTCTTGGGCCGTCTTGTTTGACCGGGGAGGCCTCCGGCAAGCCCCGACGAGCCTCCGGGGTCCCCGGAACCCACATTGGTGTTCGGGGCGCCGGCCCCGGGCCCCCAGACCCGGTCCCCCGTTATGTGTGTGTGTGTATATATATATATATATATTATGTGTATATATATATATATATATATATATATATATATAATTTGTGTGTGTGTGTGTGTCCCTGGGCGCCTTTCGCCTCCCCAGACGGGCCCGGGCGGCCGCCTCCGAGTTTCTGCTGCGCCCCCCGCTGGGGCCCCACACGGCGGCGGCGAGGGCCTCCGGGCGCCGCTGCCACCCTCCTCCCTCCTCCTCCCTCCTCTCTCCTCACTCCTCACTCGTCCCTGCTCCCTCCTCCCTCCTCCCTCCTCCCTCCTCAGACCTCCGCGCGGAGCTCCGAGAGCTTATGTATACGGCGGGGGCGTGCGTGAAGGAAGGTGCCCAGGAGGCACCAGACCCTGGAGCTTGGCATCGCTCGGACGTGCGCATTTTTCCTTCGTCGAGGACCATCGAGGAGCATCCTTGATCACTTGGCGAAAATTATCCCGGCAAAGCAACCTAACAGCGATGTGTAGAAGCATATCTGAAAGCATTCCCCTTAAGATTCAGATGAAAATCCAGTTGTAGAAGTCTGCTGTTCTCGCAGTCGTAGTCGCATTCGCGATGACAGTCGCAGCGGCAACGGCAGTCGCAGTCACAGCCTCAGCCTCAGCCTGCCTCAGCCTCAGCCTCAGCCTGCCTCAGCCTCAGCCTGCCTCAGCCTCAGCCTCAGCCTGCTTCAGCCTCAGCCTCAGTCTGCCTTCAGCCTCGGCCTCAGCCTCAGCCTGCCTCAGCCTCAGCCTGCATCAGCCTCAGCCTCAGCCTCAGCCTGCCTCAGCATCAGCCTGCTTCAGCCTCAGCCTCAGCCTGCCTCAGCCTCAGCCTCAGTCTGCTTCAGCCTCAGCCTCAGTCTGCCTTCAGCCTCGGCCTCAGCCTCAGCCTGCCTCAGCCTCAGCCTGCCTCGGCCGCAGCATCAGCCTGCCTCAGCATTCAAAATGTGGCCCAGGAATGGAGTTCTGGGAACTAGAAGAACACGAAGTGGCCTACAGTTGGCTCCGGGCATTCAAAATCATGCCCAGGAATGGAGTTCTGGGAACTTGAAGAGCACGAAGTGGCCTACAGTTGGCTCCGGGCATCCAAAATGTGGCCCGGGAATGGAGTTCTGGGAATCGAAGAGCACGAAGTGGCCTACAGTTGGCTCCGGGCATCCAAAATGTGGCCCGGGAATGGAGTTCTGGGAAGTCGAAGAGCACGAAGTGGCCTACAGTTGGCTCCGGGCATCCAAAATGTGGCCCGGGAATGGAGTTCTGGGAGCACCAAGAGCGATTTTGCGAGGATGTCCCAAGCGATTTGGGCTTCGGCGGCACCGCCCCGGGTCCCGCCCCGACCCCCCTGTGGAGACATCTGCTGCTCTCTTTTGAGACCACTAGAAACCTATCAGCAAAAGCTGTTAGGTAAAAACCCACGCACGGAACCGACAAAAAACACAGGGAATGGACGCCCGAGCGATGGCGAGGGAGGGCTCCTGGTCTGATGAGGGCGGCGGTGTTGTCCATGGCCAGTCCACGATTGGATGTCCACCGGCGTGCAGGCCCTGGACTCCTTACCGAAGGTTTCTCACAAGCCTCGAACTTATCCCTATCCCTAGGATTGACACGCCACAAGG